TCATTTTTCATGTCATTTCTTTCTTTTTGAAATTTTGAGTTTCCATCTCGAAGCATTCCCTTCAGGCTAAAGGACTTTCTTTAGCATTTCTTATGAGGCAGTTTTGATGGTGACTAACTCTCTTAGTTTTTGTTTCTCTGGAAATATCTTCTGGGTTGACAGTTTTTCTCTTTAGCTCTTTAAAGACATTGACCTGTCATCTTGTTTTCAAAGTTTATGATGTGAAATCTGTGGTGATTTAAATCATTATTCCTTTTAAATAATATGCTATTTTTCTCTCAGTGCTTTCAGATTTTTCTTTACTTTGGTTTTCAGGAATTTGACTATGATTTTTTCAAGGCAAAATAATCTTATTGTTATCTTCTAAAGCCATCTCTAGTTTTATTTTTTCCTTTAAGCCTATTTTAGAAATTCTAGTCAATTATTTTTCCAAACTTTGATTTTTTAATTACTCAAGTAACAATTATTACAATGAAAATCACAAAATTCAAAATGATAGAAATTAAGAATCACCCATGATCCTACCACAGAAATAATCCGTGTTATTGATATATTTCAATCCATCCTCTTTCATGTTTAAACACAAAAAATTTTAAAATACCAATAATTTATTCTTCCGGAGGTTTGCTGAGCTTCTTGGATCTGTAAGTTTATGTCTCTCAGGCTGTTGGCTTTCCTCAAATATTTGGTAATTCTAGGTTTCGAGTTCATCTATGTATTTGAGGTTCTTTTTTTTTTTTTTTTGATTGTTTATAGAGGAGGCTGTCTTCATTGTATGCTTTCCCTTGGTAGAGGAAAAAGACCTACTACCACTTCCTGAATACCTACCTGTCTTTCTTCAGGGGTATAGGAAAAGGGTGGGGCCATGCTGCTAAACAGGAAGAATTAGTGGCTAGTGTTCTGAGTATAGGGGTTTCCTGATTATTACAGGTTTCACCAATCACATGGGCACTGTCCTATTTATTAAATCCAAAGTCCTATATTCTACATAGAGACAGATATCCCTGTTGCTATTATGGAAAGGGGGATGAAGAAGCTTCAATTCGCTCACCTGCTCTTGGTGTGATACTCCAATTGAGGCTCAGTCTGGATTCCTTCTTATCACCTCTAGATGGAGAACACTCTTGGTGCTGCCATTACCTTTGTAGCAATCCTGACTTCTTGTTTGGGACTGTTACTCCTTTCTTCCATTTTTCAAGGAATCTTCATAGGTTCTGGACCACAATTGGCTAGGCTTCTTGTTTTCCAATGCACTTATGAGTTTAATTATTTTAAGTATATATTTTTTGTCAGTTCTAGGGATTTTTGGCATGAACACAAGGCTCCAATGTGTATCAAACCCCCTTCTTTCCTTCCTTCCTTCCTTCCTTCCTTCCCTCCTTCCTTCCTTCCTTTCCTTCCTTCCTTCCTTCCTTCCTTCCTTCCTTCCTTCCTTTTCTTTCCTCCCTCCCCTCTCTTTCCTTCTTTCTTTCATCCTTTCATTTCTTTCTTTTCAATGGTGATAATAGCCAGATTTAATTATTTAGCTAGGCAGATAAGGAATACAAGCAATTCTAAGTAAGGTGGATTGACAAAGGAGGAAGATGATACATTTTCAGTTATAGTAAAGAGGACAGTTTGGGGAGTTCCATGTTCTGATTATAACAGAATGCTAAGCCTGCCAAATTTATAGGTTTGATTTCTCACAAAGTTTTGCTTATTTCATGTAGGCTTTGAATTTGCCTTGAATTTCCCCCAGTATTTTACTTGAATTTCTAAAATTTGTTGGTAGACTGTGCTTTTCAGTGTATACAATTCTAAAGTTATATTCAAACACTGCCACCTTGTGGATCTTCCTTGTCTCCCCATCCCACCCTTCAAACTCAGAAATATATCCATCTAGAAGAGTTCAGATTAAGTCAACTAAATTTTAAGAGCTGTACAAAGCTTTACATATATAATCTCATTTAAACTTCTTGAGAGTTTTAAAAAGGAAGTACTATCAACCTTATTTTAGAGACGAGAAAACTAAGCCTAGAGAGGGGTTATGTAACTTGCCTGAAGTCTAATGGCTAAGTAAGAAGAGGAGTAAAATTTTATATCCAGGAAGCTTGCCTCCAGAACTCTTATAAAACTAACAAATCTAAATATAAAACCGTGTGATACATAATATGAATAAGTTATAGAATCAGTATGAAGGGAATAATTGTTAGAAAAGGCCATCAGGAAAGGCTTCAGATTTGTGAGGAAGTGGCCCCCTGTTAAGTTAGAATTTGAAGGATAATAGTTCTTTAGGAAGAACGCAGCTGGGACCATAACTCCCTGGATCCAAGAGTATAGAAATACCCTATAGTGGCCTATTGTTTTTTTGGCATCACACCCTGCCTTCTTTGAGGGAACCACTCTTCACTCTGCTTCAGTTATGACTTTAATAGAGGTTGTCAATCATGATATCCTTGACTCCTCACCTAGTCCAAGCCAATATGAATCCATCAGATCCCTGGAATTTTTGTGCTGGAGACAGAGGGCTCAGTGCTATCTTTCCTAATGGTAAAGCTGAGGTGTGTTCCAGAAAGCTGTGGCTGGCCAGTGTTCTTGTGTGGAAAACAACATGGAGTAGAAGAGAATAAAGCCAAAAAATAAGGTTCCAGTAATTTCTAGGCAAGCTGCACTGCTGACCTTCCCGTAATAACCATTCTTACTGAACCTAATCAAGTTTGGGTTTCTATCCAAGTTCTAGTATTTTCTTTTCTGCCACCAGCTGAAGTAAGGGCAGCACTGTCATTCCTTACCCCTATACAACCTGAAAGACAGCAAAATAGACACAATGATGAGGTAGCATTTTTAATTATAAAGAAGAGTACTATTAATTTAGTTTGGAAAAATGGCATTTAGGGAGTTTATTCCAGGTGCTGTGTGGCTTAAAAAAATTTCTGCAGTTCTCCATTCCTGATGCCTGTACTATTCATTTTTTACTTCCCCTTCCCCGTCACTGCAATCTTCTAAAGCCATCTCTAGTTTTATTTTTTCCTTTAAGCCCACTTTAGAAATTCTAGTCAATTATTTTTCCGAACTTTGATTTTTTAATCACTCAAGTAACATTTAATAATTACAGTGAAAGTCACAAAATTCAAAATGATAGAAATTAAGAATCACCCATGATACTACCACAGAAATAATCGGTGTTATTGATACATTTCAATCCATTCTCTTTCATGTTTAAACACAAAAAATTTTAAAATACCAAACAAAATGGCTAATTTTAATTTCTTCCTCCCCTAACCACATCTATATTTTTTATTTAATTGTATTTCATTTGTACTACTTCCTATTTATTTCAATATTCTGTCCTACAAATAACCAGTACCTTGAAGGCACCTAATATTTCAGGGAAAAGGGGAGCAACTCAATATCCTTTAGCCTGGAATGTTCATTCTTCCCTGCTTCATCTAGTTACCTCCTATTCATTCTTCAGATCTTAGTTCAAGTGTCACTTCTTTGAAAAGTCAATTAAATCTATCACAATATTCTTTGTAACACTTGAAAAAGGTGCAATTTATTCTTACGTTTGGAATTATCTGGGTCTACATGTATTTTTTTCCACGTTTTTTTGTTCAATATTGGATCCCCAGTGCTTACTAAGAGTGCCTGAAACCTGTTAATTTTTAAATGAATGAACAACTGCTTGGAAGAATTCAGCTGCTAAGGAAATGAGGAAACTGATGCTTCAGAAAAGCCAATTAACTTTCCCAGATACAACTAAGAGACAGATAAAAGATGTGAACTCAGGTCAGCGCATTTATTTACATTATTAGCTTCATTTGCCATTATTGGTTTCTTTGTTCATGAATATGAAAGTCATCGTATGTAGTTTATTTTCCAAATGACTCAATTCCTGCGTCACACACCAGTTTTTGTTTTGTAGGAAGTAGGGGAAGTAGGGCACTTAGAATAAAGAGCAAAGAAACAGAACGTTGTATTGGGAAAGGCAGCAGAGGGGCTGGGTACTAGTTAGTCTCCTACTCCTTCACTAACCAGCTTTGTGGCTTTGGGCTAGTAACCTACCTTCCCACAAAGAAGGCTATGAATAGAGTAAAGCTGTATCCACCCTAAGAAGACATCTAGTGCTACTCTTTCGTTTTATATATAAGAGAGACAAACTGGCTTGTAACATTCACAACGTGGTAGAGCTGTACAGCCAACTCCTGACTCCTAGTGCAGTTTGTTCTGAGTCACACTACCCCTTCTTGAACAAACATTTACGGAGCGCCTACTGTATTAGGCATTCGACATCAGTGTGTTACCTATTGATTACTGGCTACTTTCCTCCCTAATATTTTTCACTCGACCACTTTTTAAATGGCCTTTAGATTCAGAGTTAAAGTGGAAAAGGTTTGGTGTCAGGCACTGAGTGGCGTGACCCGGGGTCGCAGCTGGTCCACGGTGTCGATCTAAAGGCAGTGAAGCCTTCTGACCAAGGAGTGGCTCCTGGATAATCCGGTTGTATAGCGAGCCAGAGAGGGGCGAGGCTGGGTCTCCGGGAGACAACGCTTTTGGCCTTCCAGTGACCCCACTACCAGGGCTGCGGGAGGAACTTTTCTGTGCAAGGTGCCTATGCATTTGGCTTCTGATGTGTGGTGACGAATGTCTAAGCCGGCATCCGGCCAGGTCTCCAGCCCTCTATCTTCTCCACCCAGAGTTCATCCTCCCTTCCGAGTCTCCAGCTGCCGGGAGACATTTCTACCTGGGAGACCGCTGTCCCCGAAGGAGACACTTTCATTATCGCTGTTGGCCTAGAGTCCCCGGCTGCAGCCTTTCCCCGCCCCTGACCTGAGCCAGCGGCCCCAAGGCCGGCGAGGTCAAGTTCCTCTGGGGAGCCAGGGCAAGGCCACAGCTGAGGTGCTGCCACGCGAGGCCTTCTGGGCTGGTACCAGCCAATCGTCATGAAGCATACACGAGCCCCAGCCAATCAACACCCGCCTTATTCCTGCGTACCGCCCGCTCTGGGTCTTTCTCCCTGCCCCCCATCCCGATGCCGGTAGTCGTGGCTGTAGCTGCAGCCGCCTCCTGAGCTGACCCGGCTCTGGGGACTGGCCTCCCGCTGGCGCCTTTCGAGTTCTCCAGTTGTCTTCACTGAGGATGAATCCTTGCGCTACTGTATATCGACCTCGCGGAGACCACCGGCGCAGTTTCATCTAGCGACTGGTGAGGGAGGGCCCGGCGTTGCCCGACAGTGCCGAGCGGGTAGAGACGACCGCGTCCCTTCAGCCTGGGGGCGGTGGGAGAGTATTCGCCTTCCGGAGGGTGCCGGTGACTGCGGACGCCAGTGGCTCTGGTAGACCATGGGGAGGGGACTCTGCAGCGCCGAGGCTGCCAGGCTTCGCGTGAGGCGGCGCCCGGAGAGCCAGGTGGCCTGGCTCCCTGCTGCCGCCTCCCTACCGCCCCCCTCAGCTAATGAATGGCCTGTTCAGGCGACTTGCTACGTTGCAGTCCCGCCAGACACGCCCTCCAACCATATTGCATTCCTAGTTCTAATAGTTGTCTCGTGTCACTTCCCTTCGAGCCTTGGATTTGAAGCCATTCGTACAGGCGCTCATGTCCCTTATCCCCTTCGTGGAGTAACAAGTTTGAGTCCACCCTAGGGATTCTGACTGTCGGGAAGCAGGTCGTAAACTTTGAAGTTAAGTGGAAATTGACTACTTTGTAAAAAGAGAACTGGTTCTTTTTGGAGGGAGGAGTTGGGGATTGGGGAGAGGAGAGAGAGGAGGGGGAGAGAAAGAGAGATCTTTTGTTCTTGTATCAAGCAGAGCTGTCAGGTTCAAAAAGTTTTAGTTTAACTTTGAATTAGGTAACCCAGACCATCCTTGACTCCTGTTTTCCAATGTAGTTCATAAAACTTCGGGTGTGTTCACTAGAGATTGTTGTAGCACCCTTTTTTCACTTATGCCTTGAAGTGGGGCATTTGAAATTTATCAGAAATACTGAAAGGATGTGACTTTTATGAGTGGTAGTGTTTCGATGCCCATAATGTGTTGCAACGTCAAAGACTTACATAGCCTTCTTTATCATTTCCCTCCTTTTTCTATTTTGAATTTTTATTTGTTTTAGAACTGAAGTAAAGTAGGTGAGGATGAAAAGAACTGTTTTCTAGAAAAAATTATGTTACACATATTTGCAGAAACTTTAGTCACACCGCAGTTTACTTCAAGAAATTTTTAAAAATGGCTGTGTTCCATTATTTTTTAAAAAATAATTTATATTAAGGACTTTTAGTATGTAAATTCCAAATAAAGAACTTATTACATTTTTAACTCTTATAATGCTTCTGGACCATAAACTTCAATAGACCATAAACGAATGTACCTATTAAAGAAAGGAGCTCTGTATTACTTGGTTAATTATTATAAATAATTCAGAATTAGCTTACTATCATAAATAGGGCAGTAATTCATTTCCACATCTAAAGATATGCTTGCCTCGTACAATTTGGACAATTCTCTATTTTAAAATTGGATATTGCACTGATAAACTATTGAGCTGAAGTTTCTATATCTTGTACCCAAAAAATATTTGAGAAAACATTAGAATAAAATATAATATAAAGCTAAATTATCAATTTGCTAAAGTAGTAAGTGCTTGTGTTTTAAAATTGTTGTGAACTATTTTTAGGGCTTAAAGAATTTTTAAGATTCTTTATGAGACACTATAATTTATAGTTTATAACAGTTACTTTAACATAGAAACAATTACATGGGGAAGATATTTTAGGTTCAGAGAGCACTACACCTACTTAAGTACATATTATATTTTATGAGAAATATGAAGAAGTGTGGCATTCTCTGCTCTCATCTCCCTTAGGAGCTTAAAATCTTTATGTATAGGCAAGGTATACACCTATGAGGCAGATTATTGTCATTTTTGCAGATGAAAAAATTGAGGATCAGGGAGCTTAAGTTATTTGCCCAGGGTTTTTTTAGATAGTAGGGTAGGAACTCAATTCCTATGACTAAAGATTTGGGTAAAAAGCATTCTAGGCAGAAAGGACTCTATCTAATACAGTTTTTATTGTTTTTTTACCTTTTTACCAATATGTCTCTTTCTTCTTAATTTTTCTTGGATGCTTACCATATGAATGAATTGTCTCAATTAATATTCAGAAAAAGTTAGGAGATAAATAGTTGTTATCCCCTTTTTACAAATGAGAGAATTGAAACACAGAGAAATTAAGTGATATGCCCAGGGTAACTTAGCCAGTTAGTGGTGTACCTGGGTTACTAGTTAGGGTGTTCTGAATTCAGAGTCTGGACTTTATATGCTGCATGAATCTGTAGGCCTAACTGTAATCCTCTTCCTGAGGTCGAAAGGCTATTCTTAACCTGTGAGACATGGATATTGGTTCGGTTTGGTCTTCGGTGTGTTAGAAAATAGCTTTGTCAGATTTGTGTTTTAGGTAGATAACTGAGCTCTTAACCAAGGATAAGAAGGATTGTGAGTCATTGTTCATGGCTACGCTTTGGCTGAAACTATTGTGGTGGGCCAGTCTTCAGGGTTGAACAATTGCCTGTAGCTACCTACATTCTTCCAACTCAATTTCCCATCAACACTTCGTATTTACCATGTATAAAATACAAATTGTCACTATAATTTTTGTTTCTTTGCTTAGATTTGTTTCACTTTTCTGTTTTCCAAAGTATTTAGCCCTTTCTCTTCTTCCTAGCTGCACCATTTGTTATCCAAGCCAGAAACCTGGGATTTATTGCCACGTCTTATCAATTCAAGATCCTGAATGTGTCTGAATTGCCCACTTTCTTATCTCTAAGGAAAGGCACATAAGGCTGTCCAAAGTCTGGTCCATCCTCGTGTATATTTTAAACCTCCTTACTGTCTTGTGAATTATTTAGAATTCTCAGAATGGACCAAAATGATTCTAGTGCTTTTATATTTTACTATCCTCTCTTCATCGAATGGGTCCTATGCTGAATTTATCAGGCAAACATGTACAGTACTCATCTTTTAAGTCTTAGTTTATACATCTCCTGTAGGAAGTCTTCCCTATACCTCTCTTTTCCACCCCCCATTCCTATATGTCATTTGTTTTATCTTGAACATAGGTTTATCATATGTTTTTATTACTTATTAACATAATATCAGTCTCTTACCAAACCGTGACTTTTCGATGATAGAGACTGTGTAATAGATAATAAATTTTGTTCAATCAATAGTTGTAAAACTAGCTAAGAATCCACCTAAGTATTATCCCTGAACCTGTATTTTACCTAAAATGTTTAGGTCCTATTTATTTTTGAATTCCCAGTGCTTTGTGACCTACTGTGAATGCACTACAGAAGGCAGTGTAGTGTAACAGAAATACATGGACTTTATCATTAAATAGATCTGTGTTTGAATTCTAACTCCTTCTTTTACTAGTGGTTTTATTTGGGTGGTTTACTTAGCCTCTCTGTGATAAAAATTATCCAGTATGTATTAGGTGCTCAATAAATGTTTATTTCTTTTGCTTTGATCCCCTTCAATAAGCATTTTTTGAATTCGTCAATAAGATTTACAGTAGGCATTAGAAATATGGGCCTGGAATTTAGGAGCAATATGTGGGCAGGAAACAGATTTGGGGATTTACACGTAGGGTAGAGTTAAAAACATTAAAGGGATTGAAACTATCCGGGGAGAATATGAATTAGGAGAAAAAGAGGACTGAGGGTAGAACACTGAGAAGCATAGCATTTGAAGGTCAGGGGAAGGGATGGTGCTCTAGGAAGAATTGGTAAGAGAGAGATCCCATGCTTAAATGCTTCCCTGAGTGACTTCCTGCCCTTTCAGGATCCCTTTCTAGACTCCTTAAGAGAATATGGTATTAAAGACATAAAAGTAGAGAAGACAAGATAAGAATTGAGAATATCTGAAAGTATTTCATAATTTGGAGATCACTAGTAACTTTAGTGAAGGATGGTTTTGTTGGAGAAGTATGCAATTAGCAGTGATATTGATGCTCAAACATGAATTTGGGGATTAAAATTTAGTACATTTTTGTTAATAAAGAAATGATAGCAATGAAAACTACTGTTTGTTGAATGCATATTTAGTGCCAGGCACCATGCTAGGCTGTTTCATTTATCCTTACAGTAACCCTCTAAGGTTGGTGGCATTATCTCTGTTTTAAAATGAAGAAATGAGGGCTTGGAGAAATTATGCAATTTTTTAGAATTACGTAACTGGTAACAGCCGGCATTGCTATATTTAAATTCAAATATGTAAAACTCTAAGAAACCCTACCTCTTAAACACTTCCGTATTTATGTGTATTTTGTATGTGTTTCTCTCTGTATATGATGGTATGACTTTTATATTTAATATTCTTCCCCCCCTTTAAATGTTTAAATTACATGTACTAATAAATGAAGAAATTCTGTTCTACCTTAATTCTTTCATGTAAGGTTTGAGTTGTTCACTAAAAAGTAGTTCCTTTCAGTGTATTATGCATACAAAGATGGCAGGATTTTAGAGCCTCTAAAGAATGAAATTAACTACATGTGACCATTTTGCCATATACAGTAATCCCCCCTTACCCTCCCATGACATGTTCCAAGACACCCAGTGGATGCCTGAAACCTCTGATATACTGAACTCTATATATGTTTTTCAGTTCGTTAATACCTAGATGGCTACTAAGTGACTAATGGGCAGGTGGGTGTGCAGTGTGGATATGCTGGACAAATTAATGGTTCACATCCTTGGCAGGATGGAGCAGAATGGAGGATGGGACTGAGATTTCATCATGCTACTCAGAATGGCAGTTTAAAACTTATGAATTGTTTATTTCTGGAATTTTTCATTTAATATAATGTTTTCGCACTATGGTTGACTGCGGGTAACTGAAACCAAAGAAAACAAAACTGCAGATAATGGGGGACTACTGTATCATGTTTTCCGTTTTTAATATTTTAAACTACTTGAGGCATTGGTGCCCTTTTCTTTTTGCTGCCAACTTCCCCCTTTTTTTTTTTTATTTCAGCATATTATGAGGGTACAGATGTTTAGGTTATGTATGTTGCCCTTGCCCCCGCCCCCCACCAAGTCCAAGTTTCAAATATGTCCATCCTTTGGGTGGTGCGCATTGCA